CCTAATAGGGAAAGAGCCAAACCAATGCCAAACGTCAGAAACAGGCTTTAGAAACTAAATATTAAGAAAGTTTGCATTCTAAAGACTTCACCTGGATTTATACTCAGCATGGAATCAAAATAAGCTCTTATCCTAATTTCCTACCTGATACTGCAGAGCATCAAATCCTTTAAATACAAATTCAAACAGAGTGTGGAGGTTATCCGGGCTCGGAGAGGTAACAAAGATATTGGAGTAGCTGTTGAACAAAAGGAGGATTTTTTTTTTTTTAAGTAATTAGGAAATCTAAGAAATGTTTAGAGAACTTAAAAAAAGAAAGCATTTTTGTTTGCCCCTGCTACACAGGGGATAACCAGAGAGAGTAGCAGAAAAAAAATCAGGACACATGTTTTGGGGAGGAAAAGTAAAGCAACTCCAGACCTGAGGGTATTCTTCCTCCCAACCTAATGAAAACGCATTACCAGTTTGAAGGTAGCACATCCCAGCAATCAGCTACCAGCATCTGTGAAAGCACCCTGCTAAGGGCACTGTGGGGACCGCTCCCTCAGTGCCACAGGGCCGGCACGCGGCTCCCCAGTCCTGCTCCCTGGGATGAGAGAGGGCTTCACTCTCATCACTAGCTGTGCTGCGAGGGTTTCAAACCGTGAAGCCAAAGTGCTCAACTGTGCTCAGGCTAAGGCCACAGTTAACCTCTGAGGGATCTTTGTTCAGTGTAAAGGATGCTGATGGTGGCGGGGCTGAGTGGTACTGCCGGAGCAGCGAGAGAAACAAAGGACTAGGAGTCAGGAGCCGAGTTCAGCCCCAGCACTACCAGCACTGACTTGGGGGGTCTTGGGTGAGTCACTGAAACTCCCTAAGCCTGGGTTTATCCATCTATAAAACGCTAACATTGTCAGTTAGGAGCACCAAGGAAGAGAATGCATACAGGATGTGGTAAATTCTAGGTCCGTTATTTATGTCTGGGAAGCTGGAAGTACATGATCTCCTGGCAGTGGCAAAAGTCTTCCGCCCAGGACAAAAGAATGGAAAAAGGAACATCAACAGTCAAAAGCAGCTCCTCAGAAGCAAACAAGATCTTTTACTCATCAAAATCATTAAAATGCCAAACGTGTACTTTTCTAAGTCAGCAAAGCTGGTCATATTCATGCTCATCTCCTGAGAGTTTTTAAGTTTCTTACCCCCATTTCTTTGCTCTTGTGTGTTTGTTCAACTCTAAACAGTGAGCTGGCCCTGATGTATGTCTGTGCGTGATGCACACATATATGTGCACCTTTGGGGGTTTGGGGGAAACAGCATTGCTCTTTCTAGACAGGAACCCAAGACCTAGAGAAACCACACAGGAGCCCGCTCAGACCCAGGAGCAGCTTCCCTGTCCCCTGACCCCCTTACTCCTGCACACTGCTCCCTCAGAGCTCAGAGGGCCTAAAGATGGGGACCCCCTTACCCAAAAGCCACCGCCCCAGCAACAGCCAATCCCAGGGCTGCAGATTTTCCCCTTCCTCGGGCAGCTGTGAGCACAACAGTACTCCTCAGGGTCTTTTCCGAGATCCCCTCAATGAATTTCAAGACAGCTTTGGCCTGTGGAAAGAGAAAAATATTAGGTGAGCTTTGAGAAAGGCCAAGGTCCAGCCATCTACCACCATCGCCGCGGAGAATTCAGGCTGATGCCTAGGCTAACTCGGGGGCAGGGGGGCTGCAGGGCAGTTCTTACTGGCCAGAAACCAAGGCCCAGCACCTGGACTCTCACTCCCTTAATCGTCCCTTCTGGGTCTCAAGACTTTAAACACCAACTAGGTGCTGAAAACCCCCAAGTTCACACCTCCATCCAGACCTCTTCCCCGCACATCAGACTCTTCTATACACGCAACTGCCCCTGCTCTGCCCTCCACCTGTACATCTAATAGACATCTCACACTGAACACCTAACATCCCCTCCAATCCTCCCCCACCTACGATCTTCCCCAGCTCAGCTAACTGTCCAATTGTTTAGGCCAAAAGTCTTCTCCATTTTCTCCCATACCTGATTCATCAGCAAATCCTGTCCATACTTCCTTCAAAACATAAAAATTCTACATTCCTCACCACCCTCCTCCTCCACCACTCTGGTCAAAGCCACCACCCTGTACCACTGCCATTATTACAGGAGCCTCCTAATCAGTCCTGCTCCCACCTTCGTTCCCCTACAACCTAGACTCAACACAGCACAAGGCGATCCTCTTAAAATTAAGGCTGGCTTCCAGAAGCACAAGAATTCCTTCAATTGGATAAATAATTTGTGTATTTGTTTAAAAAGAAAAAACAGGATAACTGGGATTAAATAAATAAAGCCAGCCTGGGGATCCCTCTGACAGCTGTGCGGAGACCATAAGCATAAAACTCTCTGCTGGCCCCCATCGCTCCCAGAGTAAGTGCCAAGCCCTCCCAGGAGCCTGCATGGCCTGCATGGTCTGACCTCCGTCGTTTCCTCCTACCCTCACCCACTCACTCTGCTTCAGCCCAGTTGGCCTCCTTGTGAGTCCCTGCGCGCACCAGGAGAACCGACCTGAGGCCTGTGTACCTGGTGACCCCTCCGCCGGGAGCACTCTCCCTGCAGAGAGCCACGTGGCTCGTTTTCTCAAGTCCTTCAAGCCCACTCAGAGAGCAGCTGCTCACCAGGGCCTCTCTGACCACAATACGGAGACCCGCAGCACCCCTCCCTCCTCCCGGCACTCCCCCTCCCTCCTCGCGGCTCTTCGTGCTTCCCCACCTACACAACACCTTCTACTACAATACGTAGTTTGCTTATTTCCTTGATCCCGTCTTCCTCATCCCACCAGAATGTAAGCCCCATAAAGCAGGTGCGTCGCTCTTGTTTACTGCTGAGCCCCTGCCTAGAGGAGTGTCAGTGGCACTTAATGAGCAGAGGGACCGTAACACTACTCAGGGGCCAGACTCTGCTCCCCACGGGGAATCCGCCCTGGGAACAGGCCACTGAGACTGGGAAGAAGGCCAGATGGTCCAGCCTGGCCTGTCTGGTCCTGAAGAAGCTGCCTTACATGACTGGGCACATGGGCACTCAGAAGACACCGATAAGACGCAGTCCCGGGCAGAAGGAAGGGAAGGAAGGGGAGGGGCTTCAGGAAGCCAGAGTCTCTCCAGATGGAAACACTCAGAGGGGATCCAGGTCCTACTCGCCTTAACTTGGCCTTGGCCGAACACTGTATTTTATCCTCTTGTTGTTTGCTTTAGAGTAGAAAAGTGAAGAACTCTGATAAAACATAAGTGGCAAAATCTACAAACATAATAAAAGGGTATGAAATCTGGACTAAAAATGCACTCTAAAGTAATATTCTAAAATGAAAAACCAATACAAAAAAGCAGAGCGGTTTATAAAAACAAACAAAATAACCAGTAATTATATGAAAACAGTGCCTGCTTCTCTCATAACTAAAGTAACAACAAATTGAAACAACGATCCTATGTTCCCATATCAGATTCGTAAAGGCATACGAGTTCAACAGTACCCAGTGTTGGCAAAACTGCAGAGAAAAAGGCCTTTTCATACACGGTGTGGGTTCCATAACCTGGCATGACACCCGTTTTAATGCACACATACTCTACCCCAGCAATTCTCCTGTTAAATTATCCTAGAGACAGTGCCCACAAATGTATCTGTAAGAATGTCCTAATAGCATTACTTATAATGGCGAAACAGCTGGAATCAAGCCAAATGTCTAATGGGGACCACCTTCCCTTTGCACACTTTAAAAATACCCATTTATATGCACAGAAAAAGATCCAAAAGGACACACAAAAAACCATTAACAGTAGCTGTCTCTGCAGAGCAGGACAGCCAAGGAGAAACACCGCTTTCTACTTTTAATGCACACTTTCCTACTTACTGATTTTGTTAATTTTTTTGCCATGGGTCATTTATGTTTTTCTAACAATACTACTGTATTATAGTTTCTCCCGCTTCTGCCCTTTCCCCATCCTCTCTCTCACTCCCTCTCTCTGGTGATAAAGTTACCAGGAAGTGGTTGAAAGCAACCCAGAGCCTGCAGCCTGGGCTGCAGAGAGAGCTGTGTGGTTGATGATTCTACTTCCAGCATGGAAAGGGAAACCGCCCTATTGGGTCTCAGCCCCAAGTGGGCGGCATCACTGCAGCTGTTCTCCATCATGAGGGAAAAGCCCAGGGCTGAGAGAGGCCTGTGCTGCTTGGCTGGCTCAGGCTGGACCAGAACCCTGAACACACCCGACAGCTTGCAGGCCTCTGGGCCACATCCATTCAGCTCCCATCACCACACAGTAACCACCGGAGAAGCCAAGTTTACCAGCCCTGGCCACTTCAGGGAGCACAGAAATGCATCCTGGAAGCTCCCACCCAGCCTGCTGTCTGTACCTAGAGATCAGGTACACAGAGGATCCTCACCACAGGGCCCTCATCAGCCCTCACACTGGAGCCTCCAGCTCTCCTCACTTACGAACAAGGCATAAGTGAAAACCTTTATGTCATCAAAACTTAATGAAAATGGGGGCTTCCCTAGTGGTGCAAGTGGTTAAGAATCCACCTGCCAATGCAGGGGACACGGGTTCGAGCCCTGGTCTGGGAAGATCCCACATGCCGCGGAGCAATTAAGCCCGTGCGCCACAACTCCTGAGCCTGCGCTCTAGAGCCCGCGAGCCACAAGTACTGAAGCCCGCGAGCCTAGAGCCCTTGCTCCACAGCAAGATAAGCCACCGCAGTGAGAAGCCCGCGCACTGCAACAAAGAGTAGCCCCGGCTCGCTGCAACTAGAGAAAGCCCACGCGCAACAGCAAAGACCCAACGCAGCCAAAAATAAATAAATTAATTAAAAAAAAAAAAACTTAATGAAAATGAAAGGACACAGGTCCATCACCCTGTGCCTGTGGTGTTCCTCCATAAATGTAACCCATCTCCCCCTGACCCCCAGCTCCCTGAACTGTTAACGTGGGGAAGGGGGAGCTAATCCTGGACCACTGTCGTGAACACATGCTGCTGCTGCGCGCCTGAGTGTGAGCAACAGAAAAGGGCCCTCGCCCTCGGAGGAGCCAAGCCTCGTTCTAACTTGGCGTCTGTCACTCTCCGCCCGCTGTCTCTCCCCTCCGCGCCGTGCAGACTGGGCTGGGGACATTCCGAACACACGCTCACCTGGTCTAGGGTCTTGCAGCACTCCACCAACACGCCCACAGGCTGGGTGTCCTGCAAGCTCTCCTTCAGCTCCTTCAGCTCCAGACCAGAAGGCCCAAGACTCTCCTACCAGAGAGGAGAGAAGCTTTGCCGCCACCCCGGGAGGGCCGACGCAGAAAACGCAGCCTGCCCCACGTTCCCGGCCCCCGCAGCTCACCGGGGTCTGGGGAGGGAGGGCCTCAACGCTGGCGGCATGGGAGGAGATGGGCAGGATGTTGAGCTGGTCATCGATGGCAAGACACCTCTTACATGAGGCCAGAGAAAGAATAAACCTGAGGAACAAACCGCAGTCGTGAGGTGCTGAGGGCAGTGTCTGCACAACGAGGGAAGGGCTTTTCTCCAGGAAAATCATCTAGCCCCACGTCCCTAAGAAAGCTGGAGAAAGCCAACACCGTCATCTGGAGGGCAGTGCCGGATGATTCCCAGCCTCCTTTACGAGGCCCGAACATGCTTTATAGAGCAAACAAGCAAAAGGGGAACTCCCTTAAGCGACTGATTACAAGGGCCCCTACTGTGCAGAAGCCCGCTGCTCCAGGGTGCCCCGGCCCTTCCACCATCCTGCCAGGTTCACCCTTTAGCACTATGTGTCTCCTTGAATGGGGAACGCCAAAGCCACCCCACATGTGCTCACCAGCCACACAGGGAAACAAACGCATACACAAATGGACTGACCTTCTGCCACAAGGAGGAGAAAATAAAGGGTGGAGGGGAAAGCTCCCTCTAGCACTATAATACAAACATTTTTGCGTGTAGCAAAACATGTGTTTGGCTATAAAATCCAAGCTTCTCCCATAACTGCAAGAAAAGGGCCTCCCGCACTACTTTCACAGGCTTCCCTTCCAGCCAGTAGCGCTGGGCGACCTCCAGGCCCACTCCTACTGAGCAGCTTCAGAGGCGACTGAAATTAGGTCGCACAGTTCACCCAGGCCAGGATTCCTAAACCTCAGCACTACTGAGATTCTGGACCAGATAATTCTTTGTTGGAGGGGCTTTTCGGTGCCTTTTAAGCTGTTCAGCAGCACCCTTGGCCTCTACTGCCACCAGCCTCCCGCCCTCACCGCAGGTCACGACCATCAAAGCGTCTCCAAACACTGCCAAGTCTCCCCAGGGGCAAAACTGCTCCGGTTGAGAACCACTGACCTAGGACATGGCTTCTTTCTTCTTAAGGCATTTCACGTGTTGCTAACTGGCGTTCCCTAAAAAGGGGTCTGTGGTCAAATAAATTGGGGTCCCTGGTGCTGTGAGACTTTTCAGAGGCTAAAACAGGCTCACGTGAATCCTCAGAAAGGAAAAACCATATCAGCATTTCCCAGACATACTGCACCAGAGAACCCTTTTGTCATAAGGTCCCTCTTAAACATCAGTGTTCTGTGAAACACATTTGGGAAAAGAGTGGTCCAGACAAATCACCCCTTTGACAGATGCGTAGGCTGAAAGCCAGAGCGGGAGAGAGACTTGGTAAGGGCCAGAAGCAAGATAGAATCCAGGCCCCAGCCTTCCACTCGCTTTTATTGCTTCCAGTTAGCTGCACAACTACCGCTGCTATCGGGAATCTCACCATTTGGGGCTCCTGCACTACCTTCCCTGAGACAGCGCACAGCTTTCACTTGGGTCCAAGGTGAAAATGTTCCTCCCACTGTGGCTCCCCACAGCTGAGGAAGTGAGAAACGTGCTCCAGACCCACCTCTCATTAAATCTTCCCACCACATCCTGATGGGCCTCCGTCCTGTATCTTGAATGCACGTCCTAAAAGAGACAACATCCATCAACAGAGGCACCCAAATCGCGCTGAGGTTCAGCGTCCAAGTGTGAAGAAGTTCCAGCAAACAGCCCTGGGGGTAAAAGAGGCAACAGTGATGCTGCAAGAAACAAAATCTACTCCTACCTAACCTGCCATGCAAAACTGGCCAGATGCGATCTGCTGCAGCGGGACTCAGACACTAAACGCAATGTTTCTTACCACAACAAATGTCCCCTCACCTCACCTTTGACTGTTCCCACATTTTATCCAGCAGCATAAAACATATTCACTCGTTCAGTAAAATGCACATGCCAACGCCAGACAAGCTGGGCACACACTGGTGTTTAGTAAAGCATGAAACCTATTCTGCTGAAGCTTACAGTCAAATGGTTGGACGGAGACAAACAAGTAAATAGATACAAATCTTGGCAAATGCTATGAATGAGAAACAGGGTGCAGTGGCAGCCAATGGGGGGATGGGGAGGGGGACTGCTTATATAGGGTAGAGAGGCAAGGCCCTCTGAGTTGGTAAGCAGGCAGCCAAGTAAGAGAGGGAGGAAGAACAAACAAAGTGACGTGGGCACAGACATTCGCTCGTTCACAGATATTTCAGGAGGGCTTACTAAAGGCCAGGCACCCTTCCAGGATCAGGGAATATACCAGGGAGGAAAACGAAGTCCCTGCTCCCATAAAGTTTGGAGATTGGAACAGGAAGCCAGACAATAAACAAATAAATGTCTAACTTTAGGTGGCTGTACCATGATTTGAAGCAAAATAAAACAGGTTGAGGAGTGACAGGCCAACCACATATGCTACACAGGGTGTGAGAGAGGCCGCACCGAGGAAGTGGTATCTTGGCAGGGACTGCAACGCAGCGAGGAAGTGAGCCAGCAGACACTCCGTGGAGACGGCGCGAAGGCCCTCAGGTGAGAGTCTGCTGAGGGGAGAGGGCGCACCTGAAGACCTCCGAAGAGGCCGGAGGGGCTGGGGTGAGGCGAAGGGGCTGAGGGCGATGGGGCGACAGGAAGCAGGCACTGAGATCTGACGGAAGTCCACTTCACCGGGCGGACGCAGCTCATGAAACCCTGAGGCCAAGCCTAACAGTTCCCGAGCAGCTGGCAATGTACAATGACTCCAAACCTGCGGCTCAACACACCCATGTGGCAGAACCAGCTCTCATCCAGGGAAACCCTTCCAGCCACTCCCTCAGCTGGGGCAGAAAAAAAATACCCCCCCATCCCCTGGAGTCAAAGTTTCTGCCAGTCTGGGAGCGGGATGGCAATGCTCCTCCACTACCCATTAGGGTGAGGGCAGGTGAGGACGTCTGTGCGTGGTCCCCTTTTTGTAGTACACAAATGTAGGCACTGGCGTGGCTCTCTGTGGAATACTGTTTTAGAAATTGAACTATACAACAGCTGCATCATGTCTGAATCTCACTGGTGTAGAATCTGCAAATGCCTGAGAGCAAAAGCAAAATTCACAGATTCCTAAGCACACCCAGGGCCACTGAGGCTTCTCTGCAGAAAATTCCTCATTAGCTCCAGTCAAAGAGCTCCCAGCCTAGAAATTATACTGACCGCTCACTGGAGTTGCTCAGTAGGAGTTCTTAAAAGAAAGCAGCAAAAACAGATTGATTTGAACCGCCACAATCAAGTTAAAGAAAAAAACGGACACTTACCATGGTCATCGTGTACAACTGCTTGAGTGAGTTCATGGTCCGTAGGAGGATAACCACCAAGCCACCACCTTCCACTGTTTCTACAGTCCTGGCCAGCAAGTTTGGAGTCAAAGCTTCAAAATCCTGGAAAAAGGAAACCTTAGAACTGGCTGCAAAGAGCACCCGCTGGGAAGCTTAACCAGGGGCCAGGCGATAAGGTACAAGGAGGGCTTCAGAGTACAAACTCAAGACCATACCCCGTACCTGACTCACCAGGACACACACACACACACACACACACACACACGCACACACACACAGTCCCTTACTCAGGGGACCACAGAAGAGAGCCCAGCCCTGGAGAAGAGGTATACGCGGTTTTACATGTCAAAGTGTTTCCCATAATCCCTCATAAAATCTTATCTGGAAAGAAGTCCTCCAATCTGCACTGATTCACACTTGAATTTCAGAAATACCTCACACTCATTTTCTGCTCTGTTCATAGATGCAAACTGTCTGACAAAACTCAACTGCACCACATGGGGGAGCCGCTGCCTAAAGGAGCCACCATCACTTCACCTGGTAACCGGTGAGCAGAAGCAGCTCCCTACCAGTCAGCGATGGGGTGAGAACAGGCAAAACGCTCTTTTCAGCCTCCAAGGTGGGTTGTAAGCCAGCAGTGTATGGACAGCCCACTGGAATGCGGAAAGGAAAAACTAGAACTCCTATTCAAAATTTCCCACCTCATTTCTTAATTTATATTTTGAAACGTATGTTTTATGATGCACGTAATCATAGTAGTGCGTGCATATAATAAATACATATCAAACTGTGGGAACCTGTGCTTAAATGTGAGGATTTGTGCTTAAATGTTTTCTTTGGTGGGTGGGGCGGGGGCGGGGGGTCGGACAGAGTCACAGGTTCCAAAGAATCAAAGAACAAAACAAAGACCACCAGAGCTCAAAACAAAGAAAAACGTGAAACTTAATCTACCAACTTGCCAGGCAAGAGAAAATATATACCAGTGAAGAAACTCACCCGCTACTTCTCTGAGGGGGGAAAGCTAGGAGACTTTAAGGACGAGAAGGGCGGTGATAGGGGTGGTTATTCGGTCAAGCACTCTGGATAGGACGTCCGAGTACTTGGGTCCGTACCTAGTTAGCTAAAACAAGTCCCACTGCTCTCTGGTCACAAAAGTCTTCAGTTAGTTCTAATAGGGATCTGGGGTCCTAGGGTCACTCAAAGTTCAGTGCTTTACCAAGCTGGTTAGACCCAGCTGTGATGGAGCGTCACTGCCAGTTTGGGTATCTCTAGACAAGTGCTGCTTTTGGTAGAAAATGCTCTTTTTATGTTGGTGAGTTATCCAGTTCCTGTGGAAAGTGGCCAAGTCCTCCACGGATGAAGCTTTGGGGCAGGGAGTACACGTGACTCCTCTCCTCTCTGTACACCTGTCCTTGTAGGTGACCAGGCAGCCCAGGCACTCCCTAGCACTCTGACTCCAGTCACGGGCTGGGGCAAGTCACCCACCTGGAGAACACACATGCCAAATGTATTGCCCAGGATCTTGTGGGTCTCATTGTAGTAGCAGTAGCGAATGTTTGTGGCAGCTACGAAGAGTTCAAAGGGGTCATCTTGCTTTATGTTCAGCGTCCCGCTCTTTATTTTCTTCTGCAGCTGTCGCATTCTTTTCTTCCGATGACTGCAATCACCCCGCCCCCCCATCCCATGAAAGCCAGTTAACCAGAGAGGCTAGAGTTGGGAGCAGGGGATAGGCTCAACGATCACCCACTTAGACCTTCAGAGCTAGAAGGGAACTTGGAAATCGTAATGCTCATCCCCTCACTTTAAAGCTGAAGGAAACGAAAGAGGCATTAGAGCAGATGGGCTTCGGAGGGAGACAGCGTAAGTCTGTGTGAGAACCCTGCCATTTTGATACTTTACTTTACAAAAAGGGTAATGGGAGTCCCTAAGCCTCACATTCAGCCAGAGCTTGAAAGCAAACCTTAGTGGCCTCATTACCTCAGTCTCAAGCCAATGCTTCAACCACACAGCACCGCTTCCCAGAGAACCTGGGAGGGGCACTGTGATGGCGGGTTACTTTATTCATTTTTCCTAAATGAATTCATCTACTTCCTTCCCAGATGGTGGGATCAAGTCCTCAAGGGCAGCTCTAATCTAAGACAATACTGATAGAGAATATAAGGGTTGGAACAGAATCTGGGCGTCTCCCAGAAATCCCTGAACTTTTCTTTTGTCTTAAAAAACTCTGAATACCTGTCAATTAACTGTTTCTTTTAGAGAAAAGAGAGAATGAGAAAACTCCAGAATCAAGGGTTACAGCAAACCAAAATTTTATCATAGCTCTCTAACTGAATAGTAGAGACAAGGCCTTCCCCCTGGGGCTCCACTTCCTCAGCCCATGACTTAGCATCAGCCTTAATCTAATGCTCAAGACAGGGGCAGGAGAGCTATAAGAGGCACAGAAGAGATTTTTTAAAGTGAAAGCAGGTGGGTTAAGTTTGAAAGGCAAATCTGCCCAAAACACTGTAAACTGCCCAATTTCGCAGGGGGTTTCCCCACAGCAGAGTCCGCCCCAGAGACACATATACTGGGGGATAAAGGAGGGAGAAGAGGCCCAAGGACAGAACCACACAGGTGAGCTGGGTTTAGGAAGGAGATGAGCTCGGGGAGAGAGAAGAGCTCAGGAAGGTGGTCTGAGGGTCACAGAAGCAAGGAAAGGAGAGCATTTCCGAGGTGACTTTATAATGGTTTATCTGCCAAGGAACAGCACCCCCACACCCCAAACTCCTCCACACAAACAGTCGTAGACAGAACTGCCAGGTTTCTAGTAGGTGACCCACCCCACCTCGTCTGGCCCAGGGCTGGATGTCTTTCCGAAAGAATTTGGGAGAAAGACTGATTTCTGTGTCGTTGGACCCAAACCACGTAAAACTCAAGTGGTGTTTCTGCGATGGGCACCATAGAAGGCAGACAGCTGCCCTGAAGTGGGAAAAGAACAGTGCAGACGCGCAGAGATGAGAGACTGAGCAAGGACCAGAGCGCCAGCACTGCGGCTCTACACCACCCCCGCGGAAGAGCTGAAATCTCATCCCCGTAGGCTTCAGGAGCTAGCCCGTATACTGCCGACCCTTGAGAAACCTGGGGGTTAACTTGAATCTAACTTAAGAGTCGGCCCCTCCGTAACCGCAGCTCCTCCACATCAGAGGATTCAACCAACCACAGACCACGTGGTACTGTAGTATTTACTACTGAAAACCACCCGTGTATAAGTGGAGCCCTGCAGTTCTAATCCACATGGTTCAAGGGTCAAATGTACTTCAGTAAATTCCCCTTGTGCCTGAGTGTGTTTGTGTTGGAGGTCTGCTCTTTACTGTATAAGAAGTCTCAGGTCCACAACTTCAAAAAATAAGAACAGCCAATTGTCAAAAACAGCAGTGAACTACTAGAGGAAGAGCTCTGAAAAAAAGGAGAAAGCGGGGGAAACATTGTTGCATTAGGCATCAGGTCGTTAGTAACTTCCAAGAGCAATTGAAGGAACCTGCATTATTAGAGGGGCTTGATCAGCTGAGAAAACTAAGAAGAAAACTAGTGTGCAGAAAGCAAGGAATTGGGCTGGGGACTTACAAGAGCATGAAAAGGATCTGAAATTTATTGTCAGGAATGAAGAAAGGGCATCAGCTCTATTATTTTTCTCTACTAGAAGTGTCCTCAGAGATAGCACCTTCACTAAGAATCCCTGAAAAACCATGTCAAAGAATCATTTCCTAGCATTTAACTAACGGGTAGGGATGGGAAGTGGGATGGGATGCTCAAAGGGCACAGCTTACCTGCTAAACCCCAGCTCTTTCTTATAACACCACAGCACAGAAGGCCGAGCCTTCACAGTTGCTCTGGACAACATGTGATGGAGTATGACCACCTGCCAAAGAAAAAAGCCATAGCATCTCAGGACCAAAAGAGACCTCCGGGACAGCCAGGCCCGAGACCACAAGGCAAGCGGTGCCCAGGTGGGGACTAGAAGCCAGCGCACATACACTTACCCTTGCGCTCAGTCCACCACCCCACATATCAAAAGCTGTTAACCTGTCTGTTAATAATTCTAAATACTGAGTATTTATCACTTCCAATAAGTAAAGGAATGTTCCCACTAGGCATTTCACTTAAAGAAAACCAGTCATTATGTGTGAACCCCCAGAGTATCTATAACATGCTGACTCTTTGGGACTGGATACAAAGTAAGTCAGGAAGCATTTACCAGGTCTTACCTGATCCTTTCCTCGATCTCCGACCACAACAAAGAGAGACCTCTGCCGCTCCGCTACCCCATTCTCAATGAGAATCCGGATTCGGTTATCCACTTTCTTCCGATGCATGGTGAAAAACTGTCACTAAAACAGAAGGAAAAGACACAACTGGACATGAACATCCAGGTTCTGGGTGAGGAACATTAGCTGGCTGCCTCCTGTGGGGCTGGGAGGCTGAGCTAAGGCCCATTTATAAGTATCACCTTATTGAACCCTCAAACAGCTCCCTAGGAAAGACATCGGCCTCATTTTTTAAATTACGAAACTTAGACTTGAAAGGTGAAGAAAATGTTCTCTTGGCATGGGAAGTCAACAGGGAAGCTTTAATTCACCCCCCTATGGAGGAGTTTTTCAAAAATCGGAAACAATGTTCAAAAAAAGAATGATTAAAATGTATGATATATCTATGGGAAAATAAAGCAGTTTTCAAAAAAATTTGTTCAAAATCATTTTCAAATATTATCTAAGGATATGGATACAGATGCTTATTAGAGGATAACATGGCAGGATATGCGTGTACATAATATATATATATAGAAAAAAAAAGATTGGAAGAAAACACCAAAATGTAAAGTAGTTATTTATGGATGATGAGATAACAGATGATTCTTATTTTGTTCTTTTATTTTTTTTGGAGTTTTGTGTTTTGTTTTTTTTTAATTCACATATATTACTAACAAAGTCAGGAAAAGAAATCAATTGACTATTACTATGATGGAATGTGGCCATCTGTTTCCTCAAAGGAGGGAAAACGTATAGAGCCTGTATGAAGCCAGACGTATGAACCCTGTACAGAGAGATTTCAAAAGTTATTGTGATTACATATGATAGAACATTTTGCACCATTATAATAAATACACCAAAGAAACATCAAAAATATCAATTATGCTTCTACAATGTAAAAGTAAAAATAACATGTTACTTAGAAACTCCAGGGCTTGCTGCACACTAATTCTACACCTAAAGCTCATTAACTGAACCTTAACCCTGCCTTAATTGTCTTTCTAACCTCTCAATCCAAACATGGATTTTAGCAGTTAGATCTTACTGTAAAACACTACATCATAATCAATGGCTCCTATTTTATAAAGAAAGGACCAAGTATAAATACTCAAGTACCCCAAGGAAGAAAAGTGACGGAGACAGGATTCACATGCAGGCCTCCCCTGATTCCAAAGCCTGAACCCTTTCCAGTTCACCAACCTGACCAGCTTGTCAGCTGAGTTGCGAGCCACACAAAGACCCCACAACCAATCAACAACTAATTATTGCTTTTTGTTCTAGTTACTGTGGGAGCCCCAGAAGTAGTACCAGATAAAGCCTTGACTTCGAGGAGCTTTCATTTTCCTTAAAGAAAATATTTAAGAGAAAGGAATGAGGGATAATCTGTCTAAAGACAGACAAATTAGATGTGAAACTAATTGCTACAGTGGTCTGATGAAAGTCTGAGATTACTGTGGGCTGGAGTTGCCATGGAAGGCTTAATGGATGAGGAGGGCCTTGAAAGAAGAGAAAGAGGATTATTTTTCATTCATCTATTAGTCTAACAAATATACAGAGCAGCTATGTGCCAGGCACCATTCCAGGTGCACTGGCAAACAAAACCAAGTCCTGAATGTGCCTGTTGAATACGGAGTATAAACGAATGAGCAGAGTGAAGCAGCTAAGAGCGTGGGAGGATCTAGATGAAATCAGACTGCCTCAGTTCAGTGCCAGGTGCTGCAATCAGGAACTGTGGGCAAGCTCCACAGAAAGCAAACGTGTTGTCACCCACCCACTCACCCACCCCCACCCCCAGAGCCCCTAGAGAATGGAGATCAAGCCACGCGACCCGCCAGAGCTCTCAAGAAGCACTCCCGAGAGTGGCCCCCTACTGGGGAAGAGGGTCCTGTTATCTAGGAGCTCCCGGGTCGGGCGGCAGTCGGCATGGGCCGGGCATCAGCACGGATGCAGAGCGTTCGTCCTGGAGCCAGTCTCCTCCGGGCCCAAGAAGGACACGGACACCGACCTCGGCACCCATCCCCAGCCATCCCGTGATGGGTACCTGCGCCCAGAGCCGGGCGGACTCCAGCCAGGAGCGAAGAGGAAGCACGTGGGGGGGCACCGAACTTCTGCGGGAGAAGCGGGCGCAACGGGCTGCCCCTAGCAGATGCCTGGTCGCCGACTCTCACAGTTTGCCTCCCTCGGCAACGCGCGTCCAGCTCAGGCGCCCGTAGGCGGTACGTGCACTGGCGAACTAACGGAGCGGAGACGGCGAGCGAGAGGGGACCTTTTCCACCCCTGTCCCTGCGTGATGACGTCATGGGCCTGGGAGGCGGGGGCTGCAGCAACTGCGGCTGCGCGGTTTAGTCTCTGCCCGCCGTAGCTGTGGTACGCGTTTTAAGTTGCCTCTTCGTATCAAAATTAAGAGACCGTGACTACGGAGGGCAGAGTAAGCAGATGCCCGCACCCGCAGGGCCTGTCAGTGCGCTGGGGCTAGCTCGGGTGCCCAGACAGGTCCGGGGCAGCACACGGTAAGTGGTCTGGGGTTTTCAATGTTAGCCTGGTTATGCGAGATGACTGGCTCCGGGGATCTGTGCCTAATTTTGACAGTCTCCTTACTTTAACTATTTAATGTGATAAGATGGGGAAACTCGATCAGCAGACCTGTCTCATTCAGCTCACTTAACCCTCCCCGTCCTCGGTAATGACCTTGTAGACCTCTCTGGCATTCCGTAGATTTTCTACCCACTATTGCTGCTCCTGTACTTTGGCAGGCTCCGTTTAGGCCTGTATCTGGCTGTCAAATGATGATGTTCTTCTGAAAACCAGCTCTGAGTCTGCATTCGTTACTTCTCCTCCCCCCGCCCCCCACTCTCGGACGAACTCGGTCAAGCGGTTGACCTGAAGGGCCACCTATGTAGTTATGGTTTTGGGGGCCAGATCGTTGAATTTAACAAATCCAACTGCTTGCTCAACATTTCTCGATGCCTCGATCAGAAAGTTGAAGCCGAATTCATTTGCCTTTCTTCCTTAAACTCCTTCCTCAAAGCAGAATGTAATTCTCTACCTCCAAATCTAATGTAATCAGCAGCACCGCCCATCGTATTTTTTTGTAATTCCCTCAACAAAATGTCAATATGCTAGACACAAGAGATAGTGACCAAAACAGTCCTTTCTCCTGTGAAACTTACAGTCTAGGTAAGAAAAAAGTGTTAAGAAAGAAGTATCCAGTGAGTAAAAAATAAGGCACTGCTTTAGAGGTGGACTTGGAAGGACTCTGAAGTGGTGACTTGGAGTAAGACCTGAATTTAGAAAGAATGAGCCTTAACAATGGAGTGAAAAGCTTTCCCACGCATTAAGGGTAACACATGAAGACTCCAAGATGGAAAAAGTCTCAGCAAAGCAGCCAGTGTGACCAGAGTACAGTGAGCAAAGGGAAAAATGGTAGGAAACTAGACCAGATAATTGAAGGGCACATGGGCCACAGATTTGAATTCTACGTGTGACGGGAAACCACTGGGGTCTGAGTAACAGGGAAGTCACAAAATCTGACTTGCCCTCTTAAAAGGCTCAATCTGGCTGCTATGCAAAAAACTATACTACAGGAGAGCAAGAGTAGAAACACAGAGAACCGTTATAAGCTACTGTAGCTACCTGTTCTGATGTGGTGGTCACAAAGTGCTAGCAGACTCAGGATATATTTTCAAGGTAGAACCACATGTAGATTTGCTTAAGGACTATAGATACAAGGTATGAAAGGAAATCAAAGATACAAGCAACTGGATGTAGGTTCATCAAGAAATTAATTTCGAATACTCATGACATTCAAAGCAAGATATTAAAGTAGGAGTTTGTTTGGGGGAGTTTGGGACCTAGAAATACTTGAGTGACTAAAATGCTGATTGTAGTCAAAGTCCTGGGATTGGATAAGATCAGCTAGGGAAGAATGTTACCTAGGGATGAAGTCTGCAACCAAGGCCTGGAGAACTCAGCAAAGGATACTGAGCAGTGGCCAGTTAGATAGGAAATATGTAGAATCCCACTCACTACCACCCTCCACTTTTTGTTGTAACCATTTCTTACATGGGCTACTCCAATAGCCATCTCTTGCACCATATTATTTTGTTCTCACCATGCACTGTTTTGGGGGGTTTGTTTTGTTGTTGCTTTGTTTTTGCTGCTCCACGAGGCTTGCAAGATCTTAGTTCCCCAACCAGGGACTGAACCCGGGCCCACAGCAGTGAAAGCACAGAGTCCTAACCGCTGGACCACAGTGGAATTCCATGCACTGAGCGTTCTTAAATGGCAATTTTATTAGGTGACCCACCATTCCTCTCCCCCCCAGCCCCACCCCCTATACACATAGCTTAGAAATCGTGTTTCCAACTGTTAGAGACAAAACTTAACATGGAATAGAACTTACAAAGCTATTCTTAGTAGCCCTTACTGTTGCTTCAGCCTCTTTCTAGCTCTACTAAATCTGTACTCTTTTCACTTGAGCCAGAGAGCCTTTCTCAGTCACTGGAGACTGGACTTGGGACATGTGGTTCTCTCCCCTTCTCTACTAGTTTACTGCTCCTCATCCTTCAAGTCTTAATTACTCCTCTCAGAAGTCTTTCCTGATCATTTTAACTGGGTCCTGTCCTATCATGGCCTTAATATCTATCATCAACCATGTTGCTCCATCATGGCTTTTGCCATACCTGTGTCATCACGTCAATATCTTTGATCAGACTGTTCAATGAAAGCAGGAACCACAGTGATTCTGTCACCACTGAATGCTTAGTGCTTGGAATGGTGGCCTGGCAGAGTACCCATATTTGCTGAATGAAGCGTTAGTTTACTGACTGAATACAGTGGCTCCCTAATAAACACACCGTACTTAAAGAAAACCAATATTACAAGTTAAGAACACAACACTAAAAATCGTCTTTACTAAATCAGGTGGTCTTTCACTACTTACAAACTTAAGGAGCCAGTCTTCTGCATGGGACTGGATTAGGCTTCAGAACAGCTGTTAAAGTAAGGTACTGAAATCCCCATTGAGAAGAATGTAGTAGTCTAACAAGTAAGTAAGGCAAGGCTACCAGAGATTTAAATTTTTTCCTCTCCTCTCACAAGTAGCACTTCTTCACTTAGAGCTTTGCTTGATGGTATAAACAACTAAAGCAAACTTCACTCAAGGACAATAAGGTACCAGGTTTTAATATAATTTAATCTAATGTAATTTAAAACATTCACTAGTCTTTACCAGTAGTTTTGTAGAATTCAAAATGGGAAAGGGTATAGAGATGAGGCTTAACAAATTACTTTTAATATTCCTGAGGGGTCTCCCTCCCCATTAACTCTTTAGAAGGGATAAGCTCAAGGGCAATACTGATTCTTTTGATATAACTTATAGTCAATAAAACTTCAGAGTTCTTAATAGGAACTCAACTGGGATGGGGATTCAGAAGCTTAAAGATGAACTGAATGGTTTTAACTCTGTGCTTACCTGTTTCCCATTTCCCCTAATAAGATATATTACTGAAAATATAATGAACAATACAAATTTCCTAAGACACTTAGGAGGCTGACTACTCAACTACCTTCTACATTTTATGAACTGCTTGTCGACAGACCATCTCAGTTCATTAGCCTTCTGAGAATAAACACACATTCTCATGTCTCTAAGTGAAGTCTCCCACATAACAGTCATATACATAGGAGACAAAAAAACTGCAGAAGCTAACTGATTAAAAATATTTAACGGATTTCGTTTTAATATCAAGATATGATGATCAGAAAAACTTTCATATTCTTTAGGGATATTAGGATCTGAAAAAAAAAAATGCCTTAACCAAGGTAATCAATGACACTCTACCTTAAAGCTTTAAAATAAAAGTCTCATTGTCCACATGAGATGACCGATACTGTGCATTTACTTGTAAATACTTTATATATGGAGTCTTGCTATACCAAGAAGCTACAGTGCCACGTGTGATAATCATTTTCTTTCAACTCTGCTAGAATATACATTTGCCCAAACAAGGCCTTCTGTAGGTAGGACAGGTATTCACATTTTATACAGAACACCTAGTGCCAAGACTCAGATCTTAATGGGACTTTTTAAAAAGTTATCTGCCCCATAATGAGGCACTGCTTTAAAAAATAGTCTGAATTGAGGCATAAAATTGAGGCATAAAAGCTTTAGATTTAGACTACAATGGTAGAATGCCAAAAAAAAAAAAAAAGCATAGCATCTCAAAAGGAACAAATGATTCTTTTAAAAACACACATAGAAATAATCAAACTACTAACACCTTTACATATTCACAGCATCTGCACTAATGCATAGAAGTCTGAAACCTAGAAAGCATTTCTCCTCCATCCCATCTCTGAACTGATTCATAGAGATCACTGTATAAATAACTTGCTTACTTCAATTTTGATTTTAAATCTCATGAAATTATTTTCTACAGATAGCAAATTTAGTTTTATATATAGAAGGATTGTAAGCATACATCATCTATAGGGATTACCCAGTAAATCACGAATATTTTATCTATCCCCCTAAAATACAGCAAACATATGGTTGTGGTACATCCCAGGCAGATGTCATTTAAAGCACACAAGGGGAGGTGCTAGCAGAAGAAATACTTATTTGCAAAAGTAAACAGATAACCCTTCCAATATGATGTACCACAACCACACATGAGAAAAGAACTTCTTTTATTTTAAAATAAACATTGAAGATTCCCCCCACTTCCCCACCACCCTACAAAACTTCTGAATGTGGAATGTTCAATAGCCTAACCATTTTAGTAGGTTACAAAACCAGCAAAAACTCCAGTTGTCTAACGATGAACGTTTGAGAATGGTTTGTGGGGTTTTTTGTTTTTCTTTTTTTAAAGTAGCTGAGCACCTACTGGAAAAATTCCTTAGCTAAAGGCTGAAGACTAAATTCAATTTCTGCACAGAAAATACCATTAACTTAGTAGCCTTTGCTTAATAGGTGGGATTAATTCTCCATGAAGTCCAAGTGGGATACAACAAGCAGCATTAAGTTCATAGGCACACAGAACTAGTGCTCCAACTGCTAGCACAAATTTCAACATAGTACATAAATTACTAAACTGTCCTCTTCATCAAACATGGGACTCTCCCTATACATCTATGGGAAGGAATCACCACTTTGAATATAAATACCTCCATGAGAAATGGATAATTCAATTAGGGTTAGACAAAAGATAAGTGCAAGTACTATAGAAATAGCTGCTGGAGATAACCATAAAATTTGGAACACTAACTGCATGGGGTGAACCACATAAGCTGCTAGCTGTTGAACACCAGTGTTTCAAGATACAACTTTTATAAACATGTTTTATTTGTTTGCTTATACCGTCAGAACTGAAACTACTGACTGTCATTTCCCTAAAATAGGGAAATCAATCTAAAACACATACTGGTGCTTTTCAAAAGATAGCAATTTAAAAGGGTGGTAGCAGCAGGCATTTGATATCTTTTTCTTATAAAAACTTTCAGGCTTCAGGAAAAACATGTGACCAAGGTTGTTATGATTATCCATTAGAGATTTTCATCAGTACCTATACCAATTTAGGTGACAATAAGCAAGATCCAAGGATTAGCGACAGACAATGTACATCATAAGGAATGATATATATAGTACCAATCCTTACAAAAGTCATTGTCAAAGAAACTGTTAAGTGTTCAAAAAGGTATCTAAATATTTCACATTAAGTGGCCATCCAGATTATATCCCTTATTTGTTGCATATTTTTCAAAAAGTGCCGATCAAAGCCTAATTTTGCATTTTGGCTTTGTCTTATACAGTATCAGCTGTTAAAAAGCAATTTGCATGTGTTTTCAACCACAGTCGTCTGGCCAGAGAATGAACAGTGCTGTGTCAAACCCTAGGGCTGGTAGCCAGCCTTATATGTGTGATTAAGGACCCATGCATAATTTGGTATGCATCTAAATGTTCAGTGCTCCAATTTAACTGGAAAAGCTGTGAAATGCAGTTGTTGTGCCAAACCACACTCCACTCCTTCCGTCTTCCATTCAAGGGAAATAGTTTTGTCAATTACCACTGAATAATAGGGCTGATTTGTAGATTTTATCCAAAGTCAATCTTGCTTTTTCCAAGCCACTTAAAATAACTATGGAGATACCACCCCGTTAAAGTATATGATGTTTTACTCCTAAGCAAGGGTGAGGAATCTGAGTATCATGTGCAAGACTCAAGATGACGTTTAGGACAGAACATGCAGAGTAAAAAGAGTTTCCTTCCATATCCAGGTAATATAAAGCTGACAACTGTAGTCCTGTCTTTATGGGATGAAAACAGTCCCTTTACAATAAGTTTCCTGAAAGGGAGAACAAATAGATAATAACTCTTCTGGTAACATATTATGGTACACTGGCCAGTGTGTTTTTGGCGATTAAACATAATCCTGTGAATCAGATTAATTCACTTGCTGAGTGTTCATTTGCGGCATCCCTCTGTTGGGTCTTGGGGGCCCTCCACGACCTAGAAGACAAAAATGGCATTTGGTTTTTCTTTCAAATATTATTTATTTTGCCTTCAAGCAGATTTTCATCTGAAGTCAAGAAGCATGTGGGCAGCTTGTCACCACATTATTAGGTTTAAGAGGTCAATTCTTCAGTGTTCAAGTTTCACCTGTCCTGGAAGTTGTCATGCGCAAATTTGCTCATGTTCTCTAGCTAAAAGAAGAGTAGAGCTAATGGAGTATTCCACCAGTACTCATTCATTCATTCATTCAACAAGTATTTATTGAGTGCCTACTATGTGCCAGGCACTGTCATCAGGTGTTGGAAATAGATACAGCAGTGAAGACAGACAAGGTACCTGCTCTCATGGAGCTTACATTCTAGTGTACACTCTAGCTTACATTTCAGTAAGTAAGTAACATCATACTATCAAAATTAATAAAAGCACCAGAATGAAAAACAGACCTTATTACCTAAACTGTTAAAAATAAACTACATAACATTCAAAATTGTATAATGACTTGTAACAGATAAAGTAACTTTTTACATGCTGTTAAAACAGATTTTTAGCTACCAGTCAACTCAACTTTCATAGAATATGCTACAAGGTGAGAAAGAAGAACATAACCCACATTCACATGCAAATATCCTTTGATACTTCAAGTCAGTAATTCTCAAGTGATCCATAATTTTTAAAAATAATGCACCCTTTTTGCTGGCCAGTTTCTACTAGCATTGAAATCAAAGTACTTTGTAATTCCTCCTTAACATACATTTTATACATGTTATGGCCAATATCTAGAGGAAATCTATTCAATTTTACTTCCCTCCAATCAGAGAACCATTTAGAACTTCAGACCATATGAAACGATACCTCTAATTGTTACACAGATTGACTTCGTACCCAGATAGCAAGTAGTTTTCCTATGGTAATAGACAAAAGCCAAAAACTCTTAAAACCTATAATTTTTAAGTATAGTTCTGTAAGTTAGTTAGGAATTTGGAGGTTCTGTTTCAAAGTCAGAAATAATTTGACATTTATATCACTAATAATGGTCCAAAAGGCATTGAAATTTCAATTAGTTCTATTACTTCTAAATGGTTCTCTTAATGTAACTATGGCTTATCCGGCCATTAAAGGGTTTCTGGCCCTAAAATATAATATGCATGTTTGAAAAATGAAAGAGGAATAATAAATTTATATAAATGTTTAATCTCATTCCAAAAATGTCTTACAAAAATGTTTTGGTAATTACTTCCTAAAAACATTTAGCAGGTTTTAGGACCTGAAAAATAATTTGCAGTTGGAAAAACACTTTTTCTGAGGAGGAGAGATGTTCTAGTTTTCAAGACAGTTTATATAATAACAGGGAAAGTCATTCAAAAAATTAAATTTGGGTTCAAGATAAGTTTTAGAAACAAAGCATTTCATTTAATCCCTAGCAACAAGTCTGGAAATGATAAATGTATTCCTAACATGTAACCTACATGCAGACTATGAACAGCTCTTCCAAGGCCAGAACAGAAGCTCCACTTAGGAGCTAGGATCACCACCACAAAATATTACCTCGTGGGGCTCCCCGTGGTCCACTCTGCCCAGAGCCTCGCTTGAAATTCTGCTGATATCCATCCTAAAAGACAAGCTAGTTAGTACTGAAGAAAAGGCAATTTTTTAATGCTTACCCATCTATCTCTATTCTTACAGTCTAACACTTGTAGAATACAGAATTCTTTCTTATTCTTTTAGACATTTAAATATAGCATTACTACAAGTTATTCTTTAATCGTACTTCTATTCTCAAGATCAATGAGATATATTTCTCAGCTCTTAAAAATCACTGTTTTTACCAGCCTCTATTAAATGAATACCTATATTGAGTGCTAAGAAAAGCAAAAGTCATCATTCTCCATAAGGAAGTATCTTGTACAAGGAGCCCCCAATTACTTAGTTGCTCAAGTGCATCAAGCAACTACATTAGTCCCTTTCATTGGGGTATTTAGGTCAGGTTTATATTTTATAACAATTTTACCTACCCGCTGATAGCCAGAGTAGTCCCGGGGAGCACTGAACTGAGACTGTGTATATCCACTGTTTGGAGTGTTAGAGAATGAAGGGCGGTAACCATCATATCCTCCTAAAATTTAGGACAAGAAAAAAAACAACTTTTTTATCTTCAAAGGGAATTTTTACTTTCTCATTACTGACCAAGGGAAAAACTGAAAAATTGTAAGCTATGCTAGTTATTCAAACTAATCTCTTATCCTGATCCAATCTGTTTATACATTAACTGCCATAGAGGATAAAATTTTCACCCATCCATGCACATACACACACACAAAAAACAAAAAATCTCCATAAAGTCTGACAATTTATAGAAAGTAATATCCCCTACAGGACAGTGGTAGACATGGGTTTAATACATACAAAAAAATTCAGTCCCAATTTTGCCAATTTAAATGACGGTATCAACACATACTAAAAATGTTTATGTTGTACATAAGAAGCTAATGCAGAGAGATACATATTTTTCCTAAAAATCATATGACATATTTCTATATATTGTGCAAGTCAGAAAAGAACATGAACTTGCTTTCTGGGGTTTTTCTGTTTTTGTTTTTACCTCTGAATCCATTAGCAGGTCCCCTGTATCCATTCATCAAGCCTCTAGCACCACGGGAGCCTCCACGAGACACACCACGACTGTTGTAATAGGGCTGACTGCTACGTGGAAATCCAGTGTTCTGCTGGGGAGGCTGCTGGTGGTTACCAGTCACTTGATGGGTCTGGTCCTGGGAACCATGGTAAGTGCCAACCACTATAAAAGAAAAAAATACATACATACATACATATGTATATACACACACACAGATACACACACACACACAGCTCATTACAATTTGTCTGATTTCCTACATGCTTTCTGGTTTAAGAAATGTCTTACACAGTTTCCTCAAAGTTTAATTCTGTCTTTAAATTTTCATATTAACAATAGGGAAAACTACACATTAATGAAGTCCCTGTCTTTCTCCTGTATTAAGCTAAAGGGAATAAAAGTCTCCAACAAATTCCAAACCTTTGAAAGTGCACATTGTATGAGAGCACACAATTCTATCCTTCCAAATGACTTGAAAGGCTGTATTATTAAACATCTTCTGAGAGGCATCTGCTTATAGCACAAGAGACCCGCAACAGTCAAAAGATCTTACATACTGAAACACTTACCATCTTGTACCATTTAATTATTTCATTATAAAGCTCCTACTGGTAGTTTTCTTATTCTTTTAAATTTTCCTTGATACTTATTAAAACATACAAAAACATACTCTCCCAGAGCTAAGCAGCTATATGCTAGAATACTCAATTACAAAGATAAATCAGCAGAGAGAGGCCTTCAACTTACACCCCACCCTAATACTTGAGTACATTTCAAGTACTTTTAAAGCACAGCCAATTTAGAAGAGAGTTAAATGGTACTCACACTGGCACTCAACCCCCTGGAGTGAAGGGAAGGTTCTAGAAGGTCCACACTATCTTATACCCCCTCCTCCTTCCACAATGGGGAGAAATCTAAAATCTAGAAACCTTCAAAAATGAAATACCAAGGTACATTTCAGGTATTACCCCAATGTTCATAATTTACAGGGGAGAAAAAAACAGTGCTAACAGTATCTTTGGGAGGTGAGGAAGGCATAGACCAAAGGAAGGCCCACACCCCAGAAACAAAAACAGCAGCCTTTAGTCAGCCCAAATCTCCCGTGTTTGGGCAGAGAGAAAAGGTGATGTGAGTCTTGAAAATATTTAGCTGAGCTATATTAGCTGTTATTAGCTGAGCTGAGCAAGAAACCCACATTTATTAGTTCTTCGAATGATATTTTGCACTGAAAAAGCTAGAGAATGCCTAGGAACAGAAGGGGTCATGGCTCCTTTTTGAACTATGTAATGGACCAGATACACTATTCACAGTGAGCTCTTTCTACATAAATTACCTTTTACTACATTCCCAAAATTTAAACTTATAAGCAAATATCACAAGTACCAGTAAATTTTCTATCTAAAAAGATTCATTCAGGGAATTCCCTGGTGCTCCAGTGGTTAGGACTCCGCACTTTCACTGCAGGGGCATGGATTCAATCCCTGGTGGGGGAACTAAGATCCCACATGCCATGCTCCATGGCCAAAACATAATAAAAATTTTTTTAAAATAAAAAGATTCATTCATATGCAAGTAAAAAGTAGAAGAACTGAATTTTCGACTCACTTTTTATCAATAAGAATTCTATTATGCCTTTTGGTCAAATCTCACTGCAAGAAACTCAAAGTAGAACAATTAGAGGGTGATCTTTATTTAAAAATACCAGAATTCCTATTTGAGTGCATGTAAAGCATAAACACTAGTCCATAAAAAATAGCCAAAGATCCTTGCCAGATCCTTTTATGTTGTTCCTGACTAGATACTAATTCAGATTAAAACAAAACTTCTGGAATGATAGGATACACTGCCTTGTTCAACAAATATCAGAATGCCCTCAACCTGCCAGGCCTGGTCCTAGACACAAGGGATGAGTTAGCTGCCAACACATAATCTTTGCCCATAAGGAAGTTTTAATAATGGGAAATAATAAGTAAATAAAATATACACACAAGTAAAAACATCTATACTGTATCAGGTAACAACTGATTAAGGGAAACACCAAGTAGGATAAATGAGTGACCAAGTGAGCACATTACATTTGGACAAGGCAATGGAGGAAGGTCTCTGTGAGGTGATATCTGAGCATAGACCTAAAAGTCAAGAAGCAAGCCATGGGAACATCAGTGGAAGAAAGTTTCAGGCAAAAAGAAAAGAAGTGTAAAGGCCGTGAGAAAGGAAAGAATTTGTGTTTGTGGCTGGTATGGGCACATAAGCAAGAAAATAGGATATACAACAGAATTAAGGCAGGGGCCAGATCACGGATCTTGTAAACCAAGGTAAAGACTTTGGATTTCTTTTCTAAATGTAATTGGCAGTCACTGGGAGGTTCTGAACAGGAGAGAGACATCTGATTTACATTTTAAAATAGTCACTCTGGCTACTGTGTGGAGAACAGACTGGACTGAAATAAGAGTCAAGGGAGACAACTGCAATATTCCAGATAAGAGCTGATGGCTGCCTACATCAGAGTGGTAGGGTGGAGGTGTCTGAGCAAAGCAGATGGGCCGATTTGATTTTTTACTGAAAATATCTGTAAATGTTATGAAGTTAAGTTTCATAAATAATGTGTATTTTGAAATGACAACAAAGGTTATCTAGTCCAGTGCTTCATAGTCAATTAGTAATGTCAAGTAGAATATAAGAACAAGATAGCTTGAAATCAACTGGCACAAAGGGCCAGACTAACCAAATCAAATGATATATAGTAATTTTTAATTTCATTACACCATCTGAAAAAAAGGTAAAACAGCAAGCATGTTAGCATAATGTCTAAAGGCACCAAATATATCCGCTCCACAACCAACTTATGAATACAAGCATGCCTCATTTTATTGTGTTTCTCTTTATTGCTCTTCACAGATACTGCGTTTTGTTTTGTTTTTACAAATTGAAGGTTTGTGGCAACCTTGTGTAGATCAAGTCTATTAGTACCATTTTTCCAACAGCACTTGCTCATTTCATGTCTCTGGGTCACATTTTGGTATTTTTTGCAATATTTCAAACTGTTTCATTATTATATTTGTTATGGTGATCTGTAATCAGCGACCTTTGATGTTACTACTATGACTCAGTGAGGTCTCAGAGGATGGTTAGCATTTTTTGACAATAAAGTATTTTTTAATTAAGTCATGTACACTGTTTTTTTAGACATAATGCTATTATTGCAAACAGAATTTTTATATGCACTAGGAAACCAAAAATTTCGCGTGACTCACTTTGAGATATTTGCTTTATTGCAGTGGTCTGGAACCGAACCTGCAATATCCTCAATGTACGCCTGTACATGGCAATGAATAATTAAAGGAGCCTGAGAACAAGAAGTCCAGTTTTATCATTCAAAAACACAGATAGCATAACTGCCAAATTTCTGTCAGACTGTGGTTGATTCAACCTCCCTGATTAGTGATGCTGAATACTACGGTGATATATAAGAAAAATCAATGTTGACCCAGGTCTGTCAAGAAATTAGACAATTAGAGGTAGTTACTCACATCAGTCAGTCCAGTTACTCACATCAGTCAGTCCAGTAAAATTAAAGTATTAACTCCTATGGTTCTTAATAGGGTTTGCTAGCTTATTGTGGGATTCCAATTAAATCTCTTAAGAATTAAATAACCAAAAACCTAAAAAAGCTATTTATGTCTTACAAATATAAGAAATATAAAATATCTATATCCACATTATTATTGTGATAGGTATGACAACTGGCCAAATTATGACCTTACTTGCCAACAAGGACCTTGTTTCAACCTAGTCCACCAAATGCAGCCACACCAACTCCTTTACTGCTTAATTTTGTATAACCAACTTGCTGCCAGGTATCATGCCAGCAGGCTTCAAATAATTAGCAATTAAGAGCAAAATTGATCACAATTTGAATAACAAGTTTAATTCCTCTAAAATCACATAATGAAATAGGATAGGATATTATGAATACTAACCAAGGGAAAATGGGCATAAAGCCTCCAAAAACTGCAATAATTCACATACAGCAAATATGGGCTTGATTTTCCTCAGGATCAGCAATGAAAAATTCACATGGTCTAATACCAAAACAAAAACTCTTGGACACTGCCACTCAAAAGTCCAAACTCTCCTAACACTGTCAATAACTGCACTGCAAAGCAAGTAGCAAGGAGGTAACACTGGTTTTCCTACCTGTTTGCAGCTGTTCTTGCTGAAGCTCTGTTTGTTCTACTTGGTGAGGCTGACTGGAAAAGCTCTGGTTATAACTGGTCTGGTACTGATTTTGCTGTTTTAAAGTTTCTGGTTCATTAACAGGAGGAACTGGGGCATTCATATTGAACACCTATAAGTAAATAAAGTAAGTGATTAGTTCTTCCCTTTATGCTAATCATTTCCCTACTTTTAACATGGCCATGGCAGATCTCAATTCTGGTTTTACCTGAAACATAAGAAAGACCATTACAGAAGTCTCAGACATCTCCCTCTCTCTCTCTCTCATACACACACACACACACACACACACACACACACACACAGACACCCCTCAGTTCATGCACTTCAATGTCGAAAATACATATATACCATATAGCACTTAAAGCAGAGTATAAATGGGGATTAAAAATCTAAAAAGACATATAATCAGAAGCCTTGGAAATGCTATTATAAATGAGAAATCTTTTTATAAGATGCAAACCCCTGATAAAATATCACTTACAGAAATTAAATCTAAGAACTTTAATTTAAATAATTATTTTATTTTTATTGATACTTTAATCAAAAATTAAGCATTTAACTCTGAATTTTCCTGTGAGCACTATTTTGGCTGTATCCCATCAATCACAGTATTTTCATTATCATTATTTTCTAGAAATTCTGCAATTTAGAGATGCTTACTGAAGAACCAGGGTGAAGCATAATGTCCATTACTTTACTTTGAGATATACTTCAGTAAAATAAAAGATTAAGCAAATATGGCAAAGTGTAAACAGTTGTTAAATCTAGGTAATGATCTATATATATATAAAATGGATGTTATACTAGTTTACTTTTTTCATGTTTACAGTTTTGTTAAATCAAAACGGTGAAACTACAAAACAAGAAGACATGGGCACATAACTCCTAAGACTCAAATTTATCTCTGGGAACAGAAAAAAATGAGAGTTTGTGTTCAATTAAATATACCCTACAGTTAGGGTAGATGCAGACTCAAGCACAAAGTTAAATAAAGACTTTCTGTTGAGACTCTAGCATGAAGATAGTACACACCAGGCACTTAATGTTAGTTGGATTAATTTGCTTACCGTTTGCATGGATTGGAATGGAGCTGCATTTACATTGATTCCACTGCTATGTAAAGGTTTGCTTGTCCCAGCCTGGAACACCTGAGGCTGAGAAGCAGCAGGAAGGGATGATGATGCTGTAGTCTGGTCTGTATTTAAAGAGATTGTTGCCTAAACACAAAGTGAATAATCGCACTTTAGTGGTAAACTAAGCCAAGTCTACTACCCATACGTATGTTAACAAGCTCAACTATTTTATGAAACAAAAATACTACAGTGCATGCATTGGGTCCAAAACGAAGAGACACTGTATTAACAGTTATTTACCTCCACCCAATTCATGTATAATTGCCTCATCAAGTTTACATGACCTGGTAACAGAACTTGCCTGAATCTGGTCAATTGGTTCCTTTTGTGGTCGTTGCTCGGTAGCATGAGAAGGCTGGTACAAGGGTTGAGATGCTGTATATCCCTCACTTGTAGATGAAACCAAAGGAACCTACAAAGAAGTAAAGAAATCAAAGATTCATTCTGTTACAAACCACCTTTAATACATACAGGGCTAAGAAATAGATATAATAAAGAGACTATAAAACCTAACAACTGCAAAAATATATATATTATTAAAGCTCAAAGTTAAATAAACCCTAGTCCAGTTATGAAGCTCCCCACAGATGTAGATAACATCTACACTAAGTTTTAAAATTATGAAATCTAAAATATGTCTTCTCAAATTCTCAGTTCAAAATTAAAAACCTTCTTCCTTCACTATAATTATAAAACACAAGGATTAACAAAAAAATTTTTTTAGTTCATCAAAAGAAAAACAAATGTAAAGATGGAAATAAAGGCCGACAGCTAGCTACCCATGCCAGACTTGGACACTTATCAAATTCCTACCTGGTTTTCATAAACTAACTAAGAAAGAGACCCAAGAAGTGATTAAAAACAAAAAGCTGTAAAAATATTTATATCACTCTTACCTGTGTAGCTTCTGGTTGTACAGAAACTTGATTAGGTTGAGCAAGTCTAGATTCAGAATGAACTGCAAAATTGATCAAACAATACTGTCACACAAAATCAAATTTCTTCAGAGATGTCTAAATACCTTTACTTGCTCTTTTAAAGTCAATTTTCTATAGCCAAATCCTATATAAACTTTTCAGCAATCATGAAAATAAATGGGGAAGTATAGGCAGGATTTTAGCTTTCAGGTGAGCATTTTCAATTAACTAATAGTCACTGTAAGTCAACTGTCACAATGGCCTTCACTTTGTTTTGCAAAGTGTTAGTGAGACAGTACTAATGAAGAGGTATAGAGCAGAATGGTAAGAATCAATGCTAATGTTACCCACAAAGAGCCTTTTAAAGCAGTAACCATAAAGTAGCATTACTCTTACTCAAAACTTTTAGATAATATTCAGTAACATTTTAACATTATCAACTTTCAATATAATTTCAAATGTTGCCACTGGAAAAAATAAAAACATACCTTTAAAAAGCCTATATTCAATTCAATGTGCATATTATTGCCAACTCTTACCATCCTTCCACTAAGAGTAGTGGAATCCAAATCACCATTAGACAGATAATCAAAAATACAGTATCTTTCGTTAGCCATTTGGAAATCATCCGTTTTCACTGGAAAGTCTAGTGAACTCAGCCTTACCTGAACATCTAAAGAGCTTTACAGGTTACATCAGTGCTGCATGTGTTGACTGGCGCAGCTAAGAAAACTATGTATTTTCTTCCTCTGGTAGAGCTCAAAAAATGAACACTGATCTGTTTTCTAACTCCTGGTAGAGAGATATGAGCTCCCTTTACTTTAGAGAAATCCTAACTACCTTAATCATATTAACTGTGTTCATTAAACATGCTATTACCAGCAACTCCTTTTATGACACTTAAGATTAACAACATTAGGGCTTCCATGGTTGCGCAGTGGTTGAGAGTCTGCCTGCCGATGTAGGGGACACGGGTTCGGGACACGGGTTCGTGCCCCGGTCCGGGAAGATCCCACATGCCACGGAGCGGCTGGGCCCATGAGCCATGGCCGCTGGGCCTGCACGTCCGGAGCCTGTGCTCCGCAACGGGAGAGGCCACAACAGTGAGAGGCCCGCGTACCACAAAGTCATTCAAGATAGCTACATCAAATAATTTTTCCTTTTCCCAGGAGGAACAATAACAAAGAAGCCACCTTGTACTAAAAGCAAATATCAAGCTTTGTGAAAAAAAAAAAAAAAAAAAGATTAACAACATTAAATGTGTTACTTTACATGGTTCCACTTTTATGCCCTTAATGCTGACATGCTGTAGGAAAAAAACAAGACTCAAAATTACTAATGGTCCTAAAGAGATGCTCCACTTAAGCTGATACAAAGGCACCAACCATATTTAGTATGCTGCTGTTTCAAATAATGGTGTAAGACTAGTAAGAGTTTGAAACTTACTATCTCTTCCACTTTCCTCTTGAGCATTCCCTTACCCACTCCACTATGTTTTACCGACTCCATCTCATTTTTTAAGTAATAAAATGTTCAGAAATTCTCCTAAAAAGCTGCAATCATCCTTCAGAGAAAGATACTTGTTAATACTAGATTTATTCTTAGATTAATTTTGAAATTTAAATAGCCAAGCAAAATTTCATTTATACACAAAAACAAGCAAAACAGGTCTACAGTTTTACAAGTCAGGAAGTGGTTACTAATGGGGCAAGGAGAGAGGTAAATACTGACTAAAAGGGAACACAAGTAGGCTTCTGGGGTACTGGTAAAGTTCCACTTTTGGGTGCTGGCGTGTTCAAGTTTGTGAAAACTCACTGTGCTATAAATCTCCATGTACTTTTCTGTATGTCTGTATGCCAATAAAGTCACACACACAAAAAAATCCACCACCACCAACGATGGAACTACAGATATTATTCATATTACAGGAAAAAAACAGTAACATTTCTCATCGAATTAAAAGATACAGAGACTTCCCTCGTGGTCCAGTGGGTAGGACTCCACGCTCCCAATGCAGGGGGCCCAGGTTCGGTCCCTGGTCAGGGAGCTGGATCCCGCACACATGCCGCAACTGGGAGTCCGCATGCCGCAACTAAGAAGCCCGCATGCCACAACTAAAAAAAAAAAAAAGGATCCCGCATGCCACAGCGAAGATCCCGCGTGCCACAACTAAGACCCGGCGCAGCCAAAGTAAACAAACAAACAAACAAATAAATATTTTAAAATAAATAAAAATAAAAGATACAAGATCTAGAAGTTAAGCATTAAAAAGGCAACTAAGAAGCCCGCATGCCACAACTAAAAAAAAAAAAAGGATCCCGCATGCCACAGCGAAGATCCCGCGTGCCACAACTAAGACCCGGCGCAGCCAAAGTAAACAAACAAACAAACAAATAAATATTTTAAAATAAATAAAAATAAAAGATACAAGATCTAGAAGTTAAGCATTAAAAAGAAAAAAATTAATTTTCATAAACTTTACAAAACCTGAAAGCATTGGCTCTATACTTTATTTCTCACATAAACATGTATCATTACTAACCTGGAGGGCAAACCAGCTGGGGTATGTCCATGTTCTGTGCTGGATTCATAGGCTGTGCAGATACAATGGCAGGATCAAGGGTCTGGTTTTCAAAATCCAGCATTGAATCCTACAAGTTTAGGTAGAATGTAATGGAATTAAGTTAAATAATGTAAACACTTAACCCTTCTGTCATAGTGTTTGACTAAAACTGCACCTACCTGTATGAAATTATAGGGCCCCTGCATTTGCGCCATAAGGTCCTGTACTCGCTGTCTTCTCACGAGGGGATCTGCCTGAGCCACTGGGGTCAGAGAGTGGGGCTCTGGTACTGAAGGAGATGCAGCCTGAGGTTGCTGCTGGAGTGAATTTACCACCTAAAATGGGAGAGAAGGAGAGGGGACTGCGTTGGTAGAATGACAGAGCTCCACTCATTATCATCATGACTGGTCCCCAAATTACATACACCACCTACACTGTAAACAGAATAGCAGACTGGAATGTATTCAACCTGACCAAATTATGCCAAATTTAACATTCTGATCAATGCTATCACTTCTATAGTGTTCCCAATTCCACAGGGTCACCATGTAGCATTTCAGATTTAACCTTATAAACTGCTTTCAAGAAAGACTACCTGTGATAACTTCCTAAAATCATGTGTTTTGCTTAAACTGTTAAGCCTTCTATATAAACCTATATATCTATACCAAATATATATCTATCTCAGTACCTGATATATAATGAGCATTCAAGAAATGTTAGCTATTATTATCATCAAGCTTTGAGTTCCTATCATTTCATTCTCTCTGGCAATACCACAGGATCAAGCTCTATCACCTCATCAAAACTGCTACAAAAGCCAAAGCTCACTCTGTCATTTTTCTAGCTCTAATAATTTCTGATTATTGTTTTTAGTAATTCCCTGCTCTACTGAGAAATATCACTAATTTTTATTACATCAAATTTATATTCCTCTGTCTGGCTTTTAAGCCTGGGCAAGTCTTATCTGTTAAGCCTGGGCAAGTCACAACCTTATTTCCTTTGTTTTTTTTTGTTTGTTTGTTTGTTTTGCGGTACGCGGGCCTCTCACTGTCGTGGCCCCTCCCTTCGCGGAGCACAGGCTCCGGACGCGCAGGCCCAGCGGCCATGGCTCACGGGCCCAGCCGCTCCGCGGCACGCGGGATCCCCCCGGACCGGGGCACGAACCCGCGCCCCCTGCATCGGCAGGCGGACTCCCAACCACTGCACCACCAGGGAAGCCCCTTATTTCCTTTGTAAGCAATACTGAGCTAACAGAGCCTGGTAACCAAACAGCACTAGGGTGAAGGAGAAGTCTAAGATGACACTCCAACGTACCCCTGTAAGGTAGTCTTTCTGAAGGCTATCCATGTGGGAGCCCAGATTTTTATAGAGCAACCTGATAACAGACAAATCATGTACTTTAATAGACAGATTAACCCCATAAATTATAAATGGATATTTGTATATTTTTTTTTGTAACTGGATCAGCAAAGCAGTGATTATATTAAATATCCACAAAGACAAATCACCTTTTAAACAGAACAGTCTTACATAATGAGTTTGTTATTCTAATAAAATGCAAAAGACTTAACAATCTAAAATTGTTCTTAGGAGAGATAAGAATTACTAATTAAAGACAAAAGACATCAACCTTGTAACAGAGAACTCTTACCTCAACTGTTTCAACTGTCCACTCATCTACCTGCTCCTTTTCACCACTGCTGAACTGTGTTTCTGCCATAAATTGTCTATTTACATACTGCAAAGCAAAGTAAATGTTTGAGACCTCTGTCTGAAAGGCAGAAAGGGAAAGCTAGCATTAAATAAAAATCATACCTCTGTTGATTCAACTTCACTTTGTTCAGTGTATTCTTCTGCAGGCTCAGGTTCTAAGAGGTTAAAAAATGATACAAAAGAGTGTAAGAAAACTTTTTTTACGTTAACAATTCATTTAAATCCAAATAAGTAAACAGTTCACCATCACATAGTCTGAATTCATTTACAAAGTTATAGTTAACAGTACATTTCTGTATTTTATTATTCTTACAATATATTCAGAAAGTGTTTTCTTTACCATTTATTCCACAATTATTTTAGTTTCAATAGTAATTATTCTGGATCAAGTATAATGCCAATAAAGCAGCATCCTAGTCTCTATTTTAACCTACTTGGTAAAAGTGGTAAGGGGGGAAAAAAATGTCTTGGGAATTCCCTGGCAGTCCAGTGATTAGGACTTGGCACTTTCAGTGCCTGGGCCTGGGTTCCATCCCTAGTTGGGGAACTTAGATCCCACAAGCCTCACAGCACAGCCAAAAAAAAAAAGAAAAAAAAAAAAAAAGACTGCCTTACTGCCTTATATTGATCTGCAACCATAAATTCCATTGATGTGCAATGTTCCCCTCTAGTTTCAACATAATGCTTACCATGTGCCAGGCACTGTATACATACTTTACAAATTACTTCCTAAATGAAGAACCTGAGGTACAGAGAAGTTCCGTAAGATGCCCAAAGTTACAGAGCTAATATGTGTTGTAGCCAAGATTTTATCCAGGCAGTCTGATTCTGGAATCCATGCTTTTACCCATTATAAAATTTATGCTCCAACAATGCTCCCTACAGTACTCAAAATTTTATTCATCATCTTACGTTATCATAAAAGTCCTCACAGTAAGTGCTTACCTACCTATTAGTGATGTGCTAGGTGCCAGAATAGATCTCTGGTGACTGAGGAATTTATAGTTCAAGATCATGGAGTTATAATCACTCCATCATAAAAAAAAACAGAACAAAACCTCATACCATTCACCTCATATACTGGCATTGTAAGCAGCAATAAATCTGCGAACATCAGCCAAAAACCTATTTGAAAAACCTTACAACAGTTGCTCCCTCATCCATACTCCAGCCTAGCAATACTGCAGCAAGAGAAATACCAATCTGTAACAGTGATCAACATAAACAAGATAGGGGCTTCCCTGGTGGCCCACTGGTTAAGAATCCACCTGCTGATGCAGGGGACATAGGTTCGAGCCCTGGTCCAGGAAGATCACACATGCCGTGGAGCAACTAAGCCTGTGCGCCACAACTACTGAGCCTGTGCTCCAGAGCCCACGAGCCACAACTACTGAGCCCATGTGCCAGAACTACTGAAGCCCACACGCCTAGAGCCCATGCTCCGCAACAAGAGAAGCCACCACAATGAGATTCCTGCACACCGCACCAAAGAGTAGCCCCCACTCGCCACAACTAAAGAAGAGCCCGTACACAGCAACAAAGACCCAACACAGCCAAAAATAAAATAATTTTAAAAATAAAACAAAAAAAAGATAAACAACTGATATTTAATGCCTCTGGGAATTACTCTTAACATGCTTTGTCTTAATATTTGGTCATGCTTAAAGTTTCTTTAAAAATCTAAGTGTACAAATATAACTAAATAAATGTATAGCTTGAACTTGTGGCAAAGGAAAGTAAAACCAGAACCCTAAACTAAAGCTCATATCCACCTGAGTACTCACCAGCTTCAGCTACCTGGTCTTCAACTGCAGGTGCTGAGGCTGCCTCTTCTTCCTCACACAGCCCATTCTGGTGGTTGTGAGTGCTGTCAAAGTAGTTTGACTGGAAAACACGCTCAACAATTTCCTTTAGAGCTTTATCTAAAAACAGAATATTAATTATAGTCTTGGACTATCTGAGGATGCCTGACTTAAAAGATTCAACGTTCTACAAAATATAGTGGTAAGAAAAAAAACCCCATCAACTGTTACTTAAAAACATAAAACCACTAAATTCCAACAGAAATTTATTACAGAATAATAGGGAACAAGAAATTATTTGTATTAAATTTTTAAGTATTTTAAATAAGTTAGTCCAAAAAAACCCTGACAATTACCATTTATTCATTCAATAAACATTTACTTAGCACCTAACTGTATGTTAAGCAATAAACTATGCACTGGGGCTACAGAGAGTTATGTAAAGATACAGTATCTGCCCTCACTAAGCGAACAGTCCAATAAAGAAGAGTTATCAAGTACTCACAAAAACAGTAAAATTACATGTGAAAAGTACTACACAGAAGTACAATGGACTGGACCTTATCAGAGAGAGACCACGAGAGGCTTTTCTGGTATAAGGGCTGCAAGAGCTGGGGTCTGAAAGATGAGTAGTAGAGAGGAAACAAGCGTTTCAAGGCAGAGGCAACAGCATTTACGAAGCCCTGTACACAGGGTGCCAAATACAAGAAAATTAAAGTATGCATTGTGGCGGGAGCACAGGGAGTGAGAAAAAGCATAAGGAAAGATGAGTCTGGAGAGACTGGTAAGAGCCAGAATGTGCAAGGTCTTACAAACTAAGGGCAAATGTATATAAAATGTGATTAAAATAAAACCGTTAAAAGATTTTAAAGAGGAATGGATGGTGAATTCAGTTAAGAGACTGCATTAGACAACAGAAAGGCAGAAAAGTAGAGAAAAAGAAGTAGATTCAAAAGATATTTAAAAGGAAAATAAAATTGTCAGAATTTGGTACGTAAAGGGGACAGGGTGGTGGGGAAAGGTTTGTGTCAGGAGTTAATCTCCATTTCCTGGCCTTGTATAGTAGATGTAGAGCAAGACTATTAAATAGGTCACTATACAGAAAAATGAAACTTCAGGGACGTTATATCAAAGTATTATAAAATTAATGCTATTAAAAGTAAAACTATAGGGGGACTTCCCTAGTGTCGCAGTGGTTAAGACTCCACGCTCCCAGTGCAGGGGCCCCAGATTCGATCCCTGGTCTGGGAACTAGATCCCACACGCATGCCGCAACTAAGGGTTCACAAGCGACAACTAAGGAGCCCGAGAGCTGCAACTAAGACCCGATGCAACCAAATAAATAAATAATTTTTTTTTTTAAAAAAAGTAAAGCTATTGGGAATTCCCTGGCAGTCCAGTAGTTAGGACTGCACTCTCACTGCTGAGGGCCCGGTTCAAGCCCTGGTCAGGGAGCTAAAACCCCACAAGCCACACAGCACAGCCAAATAAATAAGTAAATAAATATTAACATTTTTTATATATATATATATATATATATATATATATATATATATATATATTCACACACACATATAATATATATTTTTATTTATTTGGCTGTGTCGGGTCTTAGTTGCAGCACACAGGATCTTCGTTGCAGCATGCGGGATCTTTCACTCTTCTCTAGTTGTGGCACGCAGGCTTCTCTCTAGTTGTGGCGTGCGGGCTCAGTTGCACAGCAGCACGTGGTATCTTAGTTCCCCGACCAGGGACCAAACTCACGTCCCCTGCATTGGAAGGTGGATTCTTAACCACTGGACCACCAGGGAAGTCCCAATAACTATTAACTTTTGAATGCTGAACACTTCACATGTTTTCCTTCCCCTGCTTCAGAATCTCCTGCCTCACAACTATTTTTAAAAAAACTTATGAAAACTGAATGCACATAAAAACACTAATATGAGTAAATTATATCTTTCCATTAACTATAAAGATGTTACATTCCTCAGATGCAGGAATGAGGCCAGGTAGAAAATAACACCAAAATAAGCTACGGCTTAGACTTTAACCCTTGTTACTCCTCAACAGTGCTCATGAAAATTTTATCAGTCTTGACCTAAAGCTACTTTTTGAAGCTAACAAGTTTATACACATGTCAACTGCTTTCTAATCAAACTTCAAGTGGGGAATTCAGTACATATTTGTAGCAGAACTAAAATCAAGAAGCCAAAGTTTTTTTTTAATGAAGAAATACAGACAACACAAGTTAACAAACCAAGAAAATGATTTCTTACATGAAAAGACACAAAAGCATTGGTTCCTCATATTTGATTTACCCATCTCCTTAAAGCAAATACACTCCAAATTACATCATACAGTTTTGCCAAAAAAAACGTGTAAGCTCTTTTCAACCAAATAGCTAAAAACAGGGTATAAACAGATATCTTTGCCTTAATATGTTCAAAAATCTACTTCCCTAAATCGAATCTATTCCCTGACTTACTAAGGGGTTAAAATCTAAAATTCCTAATTTACTGAGGTAGTGTAACTTAAAAATATCCTTCAAAAAAAAAAAAAATCAACAGGGCTTCCCTGGTGGCGCAGTGGTTGAGAGTCCACCTGCTAATGCAGGGAACACGGGTTCGTGCCCCAGTCCGGAAGGATCCCACACGCCGCGGAGCGGCTGGGCCCATGAGCCATGGCCGCTGAGCCTGTGCGCCCAGAGCCTGTGCTCTGCAATGGGAGAGGCCACAGCAGGGAGAGGCCCGCGTACCGAAAAAAAAAAAAAAAATAATACAACTGCATATTTACAATTAAGGAGTTCACATATAGAATACTGGCCTAGATATTAGCTTTTTTAAAAACACAGAAAAGTGAATGTCCCCAATTGTCAGAAGTTTAAGAAAAACTAAAGATAGACTAAGGCTATGACCATGAGTAGAATGTACAGGGTGCAGTAAATGTTTTTCACAAAATTTCATCTGTAAGGAAAAACCAGTCCCCACCTAATACCAAAAACAATGAAAGTCAATTTGGTATTAATCTGTCCACCTCAAGCAGAATAAGTTATGAACAAAACCATGTTCATTTAGGACTCCCATCTTTATAGATTTTTGATTGGTTGATGCTGGTGTTTTGACTTACACACAAAAAAATTGCAAAAAATAAATAAAAAGATACAAAAAGGAAATAAACCAAAAAGTAAACAGTGGATTAACTTCATTTACACAGTTCTAAAATTTCTTTAATATTTATTTTTATTTTATTTTATTGTGGAAAGAACACTTAGCATGAGATCTACCTTTTAACAAATTTTTTTTTCAACAAAATTTAAGAGTACCATATATTATTGTTGACTACAGGTGCAATGTTGTACAGCAGACCTCTAGAATTTATTCATCTTGCTTGAATGAAACTTTATGCCCAGTGACTAGTAAGTCCCCATTCCCCCTCCCCCCAGCCCCTGGAAAATACCATTTCCTTCTCTGATTCTATGAATTTGACTTTTTTTTTTTAAAAAAAAACATCTTTATTGGAGTATAATTGCTTTACAATGTTGTGTTAGTTTCTGCTGTATAACAAAGTGAATCAGCTATATATCCCCATATCCCCTCCCTCTTGCCTCTTTCTCCCACCCTCCCTTATCCCACCCCTCTAGGTGGTCACAAAGCATGGAGCTGATCTCTCTGTGCTATGCAGCTGCTTCCCACTAGGTATCTATTTTACATTAAATTTTAAAGATTCTTAGTCACAAAATCAAAAGCTGTCAGTGATACTCACAGGTTGTTCCACATACAGGTTTTTCCTTCCCTTCCAGCAAGTCCCACAGGTGAATGGAGGCATGTTCATACTGCTCATTCAACCTTATAATATCAATAAAACAGCTAGTTAATTACCTTTCGGTTGTCTACTCAACACAACATTTAGAAATTTCTATTATCAAATACCACTATACCTCAAGCTCATGTCCCGTTCAGGGTCTGCTAATTTGTAGAACTCATCCAGCAACGACAATTCCTCTTCTGATAATATTGGCACTCCATTCAAACCTTGCTTCAGGTCAGTTCTCACTTCGTCATCTCCCAATTTGTCCAAAACATACTGCAGCTCAAGCACAGTTTTTAAACGTTTCTGTTCAGCTTCTTCTCTCATTAGCTGCTCCCGACGTGCTGTCTTCTTTATTGTTTTCTGAATCTGCATAAGAATATAAACATAGACGTAGCAATAAGTTTTACGAAACTCCTTTACATCAATTTCAGGTCCAAAGTAAATAAAACATATTTCATTCATTGAGTTAAATGAGACCCTGATATACAAAAGAATGACTCCCAACTTAAAAACAGTTTAATAAGTAATCTGTTTTAAGTAGCTGTTAGAAATTCAAAATACATCTTTTCCTAGAAGGTATTTACACTATGGAAATGGTATCAATGAAACAATATATTGGGGATTTGCTTCAAAATAATCTAGCAGGCAGGGAGCAAGGGAGTAGGTGTATAGACGAAATATAATTGCCATGAAATCATGGTAACTGTAAAAGCTAGGTATAGGTAAATGTGAGTTCTTTATAGTCTTTTCTTTAGTTTTTAAATTTTCCATAATAAAAAGTATAAAAACTAAAAATCTTAATTAAGGTTCTGAGACAATTAAAAAAGAAACCCAACCAACAGCCATGATAAAAAAAAAATCTTATCTATGTCTATCTCTATGAAAAAATGGTTCAAAATACTAATTTCAATTGCCTACTACTGACTCACAAGAAGATGTCAAACCCACTACTCATCCCAACAATCCACCACTTCCATTCTAGGAAGAAAGGCAGGAATGAGAAAATAAGTCAAGAAAGCAAAAGTAAGATAATAAAGAAAGCCACTTTGGATGAAATGAGAAGTTCAAGTAGGGAAGACTATGCAGACTAGAAAAGGTAGGCTGGAACTAGGTTAAAGAAGCTCTTGAACCAAAACAAAAAAAGTGTTTAATAACTGTGGAAAGTGCAACAAAGGATGAGAGTTAAATAAAAGGACTGCCAATGAAGTTAAAGGCCCAGTGAAAAGTTCCTGAAAACACCAGTGTTAAAAAAAGAAGCAAAGGAGGATACAAGTATTTTCATTTACATAGTGACAGTAGCTTCAAAAATAGATTCTGTATTAAATTGTATATAGCAATTCTACTTCTGTGACCCATATTTTTTTTTTAAATAAGAAACAAGAAATTGGACAGGGTTCATCAAGCCTGAGGCTCTGATCTAAGCTAAGTGGAACAAATCCCTACTTGGGTGTAAATTAAATTTCCCTTACTCTGTTTTGAGGGGTATCAATATTTTGCACCTTTAATCAAATTTAATAAGTAACAATAATATTAAGTGCATGAATAAGTTATACATCAATACTGTTATAAGCATAACCCTATAATGAGGTAGGCACTATTACTGCTGCCATTTTTACTGTTGTAAGCACAACCCTATAATGAGGCAGTATTACTGCCTCTCCCCTCTCCCTTTTTCTCCCATCCTTTCCTTTCTATCCTACTGGCTCTGTTTCTCTGGAAAACCCTGACCGATACAGGTACAGACTCTTTCAAAGTCATACAGCTATTAAGTAAAAGTGGCAGAATCAGGATTCAAATCAGGCAGTTTGGTTCCAATCAGAACTCTTCATCTCTGTACTGCATTGTCTCTCATCACATAATAAACTGTTTTGTTTATTCATTTCACCAAATCAGAGGCAACTTTAAATTTCAACACTGTTATAAGCCTTTCTCCAAATAAGCTAACACTAATTCAGAAGGATATCAATTTTCTGGTCTCAACTTTCAACAAATTATTTGACTTTGCTCATATTTAATTTTATCCTGTTCCCGAAGGCTTCTGTCACATCAAAAGATGTTTGGGGAAAAACACACCACTTTGTTGGATCAAGAGTTGATACAAGTGCAATATATTAGTCGGCCACATCCCTTAAGATCTCTAGGGAGAAAGTAGTTACCCATTATATCAACACGTTTCTTTATTTTCTGATAGTTAATGGGATTGTAACATAGTCATGAGGCATAAAGGAATACATGGAAGATAAACGTCTATCACGTTTAACAGTTATCTCTCCGTAGCCAAGGGGAACAGATTCCAGCACCACCCCCACCCCACCCCCACCCCCCGTGGATACCAAAATCCATGGATGTTCCAAGTCCCTTACAGTCCACACTCTGTATCTGCAGATTCAACAAACCTAGGATTTTGATCCTTAGATGAAGATCCCGCATATACAGAAGGCTGTTATATTTGCATAAATAATTTTTTAAACCAACGATACATGTCTGTCATATATGAAACTCAGTCCTTTTAACAGGCATCTTTCAGGTATTACACTAAACTTTACAGAATTATAATTGGATCCAATCCTCTCCCCCTTGTAGAGAGCTTATCAACAGTAATGCAAGAACTAAAACTCGAAGAGACAAATAAAATTTTCTGCCCTCCTCATTTTTAATATTTCATAAACATATATGCTATTTTTTACTTACATCTTGGCTTAATGCCATGAAACTCCTCTGTAGTTCTTTTGCAAACTCCAAGTTATTTGTGACTTCCTGGTACTTAGATACAGCATCCTAAAATAACAAAGAAAGAACCCGACTTTACTGGAAACACAAAGAAACACAAAATTAATTTTCCTATTAAAATTAATGAGCATAAAATCTTAATAAAAATATAACATCTTTACCAGCTGATCTTGATTAAGCCTTTCCCCTTTGTTCATTCGTTCCTGATAATCATCAAGCTTGCCCTATATTAAAAGAAAAAAAAATTATATTCCATACTGCAAGTATATACCAGCTTAACCATGCTAAAATAACAAACCCACATAATTCTCTAAGTTTGTCTCAAATCTTGCCATAAATATACTTTTTAGATATACTACAGTTTAAGTTAGTATATAAAATAGCTTTAATTGTGAGTTAAAAAATGAATTTAAATACCCCAGCCATGCTGAATGATACCAAATACTGTTATTATAAGCCAATGAAAAAACGCTGCTTATTTTTTAGGTTTCTCAAAAAAGATATGCATCCGATGGCCCAGGCATATAATACTCATCCACATAAGTGAAGGTCACAATTTGGTGAAAATCCCAGTTACACCCAAGTGAGCATATCAGACATTTTATTAAGTGTTAAATTTTTGTCCCTCCCTCCCCCTGCCAAAGAATTCATGTAACATAAAAGAGTTTATTTTTCCTGAATAAACCACACATGCATATTGTCTTTGATATGCCTCATTCATTTCCCTTGAACTGAAATAATTTCAAGCTATCATATCACCTACAGGCACAGTACACTAGTCAACAGCTTTGCTTTTGTTATTTTCTCACAAATGTAATTAATGTGCAACAGTTGGGGGAAGAAGTTAAGCCTCTGGTTCAAGGTCATCTCCCTCCCCCCAACCCCTAAGTTGAAAACTTTGGAGGTTTCCTAGGCTACTACTATTAGATAAGCACCCCCTGCCCACCCCCACCCCCCGCACAGATACTCAGGTACTGAAGCACAGTTAAAAATTCAGATACTGTTTTAATAAGTTGAAATCTAAATTGAGGGGCGGGGGGGGGGGGGGGGGGGGGGGGGAATTCCCAAGGGAGGAGTGTTGTAAACTAAATTAGCAATAGTCATAGAGTGATGGACTCCGAACTGGCCAGGGACTGTTCGGTGTTTGAGGCTGGGGAGGTGGTCCAGTGGTTAAGACTCCATGCTCCCAATGCAGGGGTCCAGGGTGCCATCCTTGGTAAGGGACCTAGATCCTGCACACAACAACAAAGATCTCACGTGCCACAACTAAGAACCAGCGCAGCCAAATAAATAAATAAATATTTTTTTAAAAAATAAAATTAAAAAATTTTTTTTTAATTTTAAATAATCACAATAAATTACAAACATATATAATACTCCCCCCTTAGCAATAATAAAATAATGAAGAAACCAAATACAAAGTAAGGGTCTGATAAAATTCAGAGGCACAGAAACAAGCTTAAAAGCAACGCTAGAAAGGTGTTTTAGGTCAAATGATCCATTTTCTTTACGGCAGAAAAGACAGTTGTCAACTTTCATAGTCATTCTACCCTAAATGAAACAGCCTATCACAATTCCTTAGTTATACGGAAGGTAAATAAAGTCAATACAATCATTAAAACATTAAAGGATGATGAAACTATCCAATTTTATTTAGGTGAACTATTTACACAATCAACAAGCTTCCAACTAAACACATATAAAATTCAAGTCTACCAGATGAAAATCAAGATTTTTACAGATATGATAGGCCTAACTCCATGTGCGAAAGATAAGCTCAACTGCCTCAAACACTCTGAGGATGGAACAAAGACAGTTCATTCATTTTTTTAAAAGGGTAGGCTACTTTTTCTTTAAGAAATAAAAAACAAGATTTGCTTTTAATTATGATTTAGGATGTAATAACAGCGTTATAATCTTCATTCCACTATTTAGAAATATACAAATAGAAGATATGCAAACAGAAGGGGGGCCTGAAATTTAGTGTCAGTACACAGTTAAAATTCTAGCAACTAGGCAAAAGAAAAACTACTATTAGCTTATACCTTGCATTTATTATCTTCCCTTTTTATGGTATTATACATTTTTCAAGGAAACTGTTGCTAGATCAGGACATTAATACACAGTGAATGTCCTACATATCTCACAAGGCATAGTTTGTTTGTTTGTTTTTCATTTTTTTTTTTTTTTTGCAGTACGCGGGCCTCTCACTGTTGCGGCCTCTCCCGTTGCAGAGCACAGGCTCCGGACACACAGGCTCAGCGGCCATGGCTCACGGGCCCAGCCGCTCCGCGGCATGTGGGATCTTCCCGGACCGGGGCACGAACCCGCATCCCCTGCATCAGCAGGCGGACTCTCAACCACTGCGCCACCAGAGAAGCCCAAGGGATAGTTTTATATACCTAGATTTTTTTTTACAAAAAAAAATAAATTTATTTATTTATTTATTGTTGGCTGCATTGGGTCTTCTTCATTGCTGCACGCAGGCTTTCTCTAGCTGTGGCGAGCGGGGGCTACGTTTCGTCATGGTGCGCGGGCTTCTCATTGTGGTGGCTTCTCTTGTTGCGGAGCACAGGCTCTAGGCACACGGGCTTCAGTAGCTGTGGCTCGCCGGCTCTAGAGCGCAGGCTCAGTAGTTGTGGTACCCAGGCTTAGTTACTCTGTGGCATGCAGGATCTTTCCGGACCAGGGCTCAAACCCATGTCCCTCCCCTGCATTGGCAGGCGGATTCCTTACCACTGCGCCACCAGGGAAGCCCTATACGTAGCTTTAACTTTGTCATTTAATGTCTCGAATACTTAAAACTCCTGAAAAATGCTCATACACACACACACACACACACACACACACACACACACACACACACACGTATGAAAAATAAAGATTTTTTTAAATGTTAAGAATGGTACCTGAGTGGTACAATTATAGGTGGAATCTTTTTCCTTTTTTTGTACACTTAGATATTCTGCAATAGACATATAATAAAAAATTAAAATCTTGCGCTATATAAAAGGTGTTAAGATTGTTAGATTTCAGGATATTGTCAGGACCTTCACCTATAATAATCCTTGAGTATGAATCTATATTATCCTAGGACAAGATATCCTACAGCAGAAAAGCTCCAATTTTCTACACAATAGGAAATTTACTATTCATCTAACCCAGAGATCTATGGCAGATTACATTTTCTAAAGATGGCTCCCACATACTGTTCTAAAATGTGACCTTGGCACTTCCCCATTAAGAACTAATCCAATTCCTCTGCCATTTTATTGAGTGGACACCAACCAACACAGTGTACAGTGGAAGTAATCCCGTATGACTTCCAGGGTTGAGTCATTAACAGCACTGCATCTCTGCCCTGTTTGCTGGTCACTAAAACCAATCATGTTTGGAACCCTGAGCCATCATATAAGAAGTTCAATAACCCCGAGGCTGCCATGCTAGGAGGAAGCTAAGCCATGAAGACAGGTGTCATATAAGAATTCTGGTCAGCAATCCTAGTGTTACGTCATCCTAGCCCAGGCATCAGACATGTGAGTAAACAAGGCTGAGTCTTCCCAGCTGAGGCCCCAGGCATCATAGAGCAGGTCAACCCCGCTGCATGCCCTGTCTGAATCCCTGACAGGCATATTCTGTGCTCATGATGTGATGAGGTAAGTGTTAGAGTAATCTGTCACACAGCAATAACTGGAAGGTTAAGAGGTAAATAAACAGAGAAAGCAGCTACTTTGTGAAACTCAGCTTCACAGTACACATCTTCATGGAATATTGTCATCAAAAAAAGATGCAAAAAGACCTCTGTGCAGCCAAAATAAAGATCTATGCATTAAATACAAGTAGAAAAATTGTTCATTTGGGATTAAAATTGGTAGTATGAACTCAGTCACTACATAAATTAAGGACTTGGTTGTCAAACTGACAGATCCAGCATTAACCACAACAAAAACAGAGAAGCAAAGACAGGAGTAAAGGACTCCAGACAAACACAGCTCTTTTTCTTCCCTAAGCTAGAACATGGTTCCTAACTTATAAAGTGCTAAAGACAAATTTGTTAACTACTCATATCATCCACATAAAATGAATATTAAGGTTTTTTTTTTTCAGGAGAATGTAGTCATTTTTCTAGCATCAGATATCTTAATCAGAAAGCCTACCACAATATTGATATAACTGAAACCTGCCCTTTTAGATTCTATCTTGAAATATCTATACTGAAAATTCAATTTAGGGTTCCTTTTTCAACTACTGAGCAGCCTGAATGTATTAAAAATTTATTTATAGCACCACATATGAGCAAGATAAAAAATCAGGCCATTTTCCAGATTACTCAGAGTCTCTAAAGCAGAACCATGGGATAGCGGTGGGACAGACATTACCCAGTAAGTATCAAAAGACTATATAGTCATGTAGTACTAAGAAATAATTATCCCAACAAGTGCTGTCCAGTCCTACTCTCCTGTTTCTTTGTTGCCTATAATAGCTGACAGTGTTCGTTACGTGACAGACCACATTCAAATTCATAGTATCAGGGAGGCACTATTATCAATCATATTTCATCTAAATGGAAACTGAAAGAAAGAGCAATTAAATAACTTGCCTAAGGTCATATATCCCAGAAAAATTATGTGTGCCTCAACACTTGCCCACTCTATATTCCAGCCACCGCTACATTTCATTTCTCCCTCCTGCTGCTGTTTTCCTCCTTTTCTTTCTCCAAAATCACAGTACACCCAGATCCTCCATTCTTCCCAAAGATTTTTTCATCACCACCAAAGTTACTTTATTGAAATGTTTTTTAAAAATTCACTACAGTGCCATGAGGGTGCCAGAAGATAAATATCCAAAATAGCTGTTCTCCAGAGATTTCCTTCCTTCCTGTGATAACAAAGAAATTACACAGATGAATAATTTTTTAAATATTTTTAAATTAAACAGTTAAAAAGAAATGGCAAAAGAGATGACAGACTCCAAAAAACCAAAAATTCTTCAACTAGACAACTGTAAACAGTCACAACAAGAAAGATTAGGAGAGACAACATCTTTAGCTCCACTACCTGGGAAACTATGTAACTTTTGTTCTCAATTAAGGGGATCTCCAAACTGAGGCAGAACACTTAAAAATGAAGTCTAAAATAACAAAAGTGGTAAGAACGCCTAGCTATATCTTAAATTATTTTACGTCTCCAGGCCAAATACATCACGTCTGTAGTATTCAAAGAAC